CCTGTATCTTCTTCCCGTTACCATGTAGCCTCTTCCCCTGTATCTTCTTCCCGTTACCATGTAGCCTCTTCCCCTGTATCTTCTTCCCGTTACCATGTAGCCTCTTCCCCTGTATCTTCTTCCCGTTACCATGTAGCCTCTTCCCCTGTATCTTCTTCCCGTTACCATGTAGCTCTCCCCTGTTACCATGTAGCCTCTTCCCCTGTATCTTCTTCCCGTTACCATGTAGCCTCTTCCCCTGTATCTTCTTCCCGTTACCATGTAGCCTCTTCCCCTGTATCTTCTTCCCGTTACCATGTAGCCTCTTCCCCTGTATCTTCTTCCCGTTACCATGTAGCCTCTTCCCCTGTATCTTCTTCCCGTTACCATGTAGCCTCTTCCCCTGTATCTTCTTCCCGTTACCATGTAGCCTCTTCCCCTGTATCTTCTTCCCGTTACCATGTAGCCTCTTCCCCTGTATCTTCTTCCCGTTACCATGTAGCCTCTTCCCCTGTATCTTCTTCCCGTTACCATGTAGCCTCTTCCCCTGTATCTTCTTCCCGTTACCATGTAGCCTCTTCCCCTGTATCTTCTTCCCGTTACCATGTAGCCTCTTCCCCTGTATCTTCTTCCCGTTACCATGTAGCCTCTTCCCCTGTATCTTCTTCCCGTTACCATGTAGCCTCTTCCCCTGTATCTTCTTCCCGTTACCATGTAGCCTCTTCCCCTGTATCTTCTTCCCGTTACCATGTAGCCTCTTCCCCTGTATCTTCTTCCCGTTACCATGTAGCCTCTTCCCCTGTATCTTCTTCCCGTTACCATGTAGCCTCTTCCCCTGTATCTTCTTCCCGTTACCATGTAGCCTCTTCCCCTGTATCTTCTTCCCGTTACCATGTAGCCTCTTCCCCTGTATCTTCTTCCTGTTACCATGTAGCCTCTTCCCCTGTATCTTCTTCCTGTCACCATGTAGCCTCTTCCCCTGTATCTTCTTCCCGTTACCATGTAGCCTCTTCCCCTGTATCTTCTTCCCGTTACCATGTAGCCTCTTCCCCTGTATCTTCTTCCCGTTACCATGTAGCCTCTTCCCCTGTATCTTCTCCCCGTTACCATGTAGCCTCTACCCCTGTATCTTCTTCCCGTTACCATGTAGCCTCTTCCCCTGTATCTTCTTCCCGTTACCATGTAGCCTCTACCCCTGTATCTTCTTCCCGTTACCATGTAGCCTCTTCCCCTGTATCCTCCTCCTGTCACCATGTAGCCTCTTCCCCTGTATCTTCTTCCCGTAACCATGTAGCCTCTTCCCTGTATCTTCTTCCCGTTACTATGTAGCCTCTTCCCCTGTATCTTCTTCCCGTTACCATGTAGCCTCTGTATCTTCTTCCCGTTACCATGTAGCCTCTTCCCCTGTATCTTCTTCCCGTTACCGTGTAGCCTCTTCCCCTGTATCTATATCCCGTTACCCTATGTCCCCTCCCCTATCCCTGTATTTTGCTCTTCCACTTACCTTGAGTCCTCTCTGCTTCCGCTGTATTTCCTTCCCCTTACCAATCCAAGTAAGCAATGTCAAATTCTCAAATGAGAAATATATACCTATTTTATGCCGCTGATTGAAAGATCGGGGCATATTGTTTTTGTGCTGTCTGTTTGTCCTTTGTCAACTTTAACTTGTCCATAACTTTTACACCGTATGGGGTAGGACTTTACCAACTGGCATGTGTCTTCATTGTAACAAGTTCTTTCCGGCGGTGCAAACATATTTTACCATGTGACCTTGACCGTGAGCTTTCACCTACATTTGAAAGTAAGAAAAAAAACATTACCACAATGAAGACAAAAGTGTTTCATAAATTGTGCATGCAATTAACACAAGCCTTACACAGTACAGTTTTAATGTCCCACTTCAGAATTTCGTTGCAACCAGGGGCATAGTGTTTCATAATCACATCTATTTTATGTATCTATATTTCAATTTTCTAAAATATTTCTATGTCGTAAATGCTCGTTGCGAGTACAATGAAACGTTTTATTTCCGTCAGACGATATCGTGTGTTAAACTCACTGTTATGTTTAAATCCGTTTAACACCATTATATGATGGTATAAAAGAACAAGTACACACAGAATACTTTGGACAATGACATGTCTTACAAGACTATACGTACATGTACATTACTTTGCATTAAACTTATCAAATACACGAAAGTTACGAAATTTATTGAATTATTGGGCGAATACAACTCCCCACCCAGGTTCAGAATGCTCTATCGAGTTGGATTTTCCTCAGTCATCTCTTTGACTTAAAAAGTCTTTAGAATAGAAGAATCTGACTCTAAAGTTTTATCAAAAGGTGTTATTCACTTGTGTGTGTTTTGTACAATCATAGGTACAATATCGTCCTGCAATATTACGCAACTGCTTACAATATGAACGTCCTTGAGGATGTACCCCCTCCACCAAGATAACAACATGGAACATTCCAAACTCGCTCCATAGACGGCAGTGTTAAAATCCAGTCTTTGCTTAAGCAATCGCAATGAAATAGAACATCCCACCTTCGCAAGGGACAAAACTACTCGCCGAACGAGCAAAAAATCAGAAATGTTTTACACAGATTTAACAATACTGTTAAAGATATAATTAGGTAGAATGTGTTGTACAATGATTGTAACAATTCGTCAGTCGACAAAGATTATTTTAATGTCACTTTGACGTGTTTATACGATTGTTTTATATTTAGAAAATTGAAATCTATACGTCTCGTCAATGAATATGCATAGAGCTACATGTATGTTTACTTGGTGTACCTTGTGACGTCATCAGTCCGAGATCTCCATCCAACCAGTCCGTACTGAAACATTGACAAGTGCAAAACATGGACATCGTACAGTTTGGATATACCTAATTTCTTTGAGATCACAATATGAAAGTAAAGGTCGACACAAAATGGTATATTTAGGCAATCTTAGTAATTAAATACACGGATTCGTTTAGAAGAAGAAATATATACGTTTTCTATGATCCACTAGCGCTCCACAATACCATAGAGTTTTTAAAATTGCTGTATTTTTTTATCTGTCCATCATCATCATCATCATCATCATCATCATCATCATCATCATCAACAACAACAACAACAACAACAACAAAACAATAAGCTTCAATCGAAAAGTTAAATAACAAATGTTTTCCACGGGGATATTTCATCCCTATCATCGAGTTGTTTTGTGTAACGACATAAACGTCGGTGATAATATACTCCCTACACCGCGGTAACCACATGGAACGTTCCAAAGTCACTCCGTTGAAGTCAGTGTTAAAATCTTGTCTTTGCTCAAGCAATCACAGGGAAATAGGACATCCCACTATCGCAAGGGTGGACACCACTAGCTGAATAATCAATAAACCAAAACGATGGAGTACAGTAGTACTAATGTATATAAAGATATTATTTGATCTTAAAATAACTGTATAACTTCGTCTATCGTCTATTCATACGATCGATCCTTTTATGAAAAAACCAAACTAATTCGCATAGCGTTATATCAATTTGTTGAACTTGGTGACGTCATCAGTCAGGGACATTCTTACAACCGGTTCGGACACAAAATGATTGGTCTGTAATAACGGATCGCTACACAAACACTCCTTTAGGTGAATTTTGTATAGTCATTTCATGTATATTTATGAATTCTTTGAGAACAAAAATATCCTAAATATCAGAATAAATCAATGCCTATGTTTAATGTAAGCGACTTGAGTAATGAACAGGATTCTGTTTTTTATTGTTCTTAAAATACGCCCGTTTGCTTCAAAATTTATATGTACATTTTGTCGGTGGAATAATCTTAAATCACCTCGATCGAGATAACAACATGGAACATTCCAAACTCGCTCCATAGACGTCAATGTTAATTCCCAGTCTTTGTTTAAGCAATCGCAATAAGATGGGACATCCCACTATCGTAAGGGAGAACACCACTCGCTGAAGGATCAATGACTGTTCCATTACTACCTTTGCCTAATTTTTTGTTTATGTCATTCTGATGTGTTTATACAACTAGTCTATTTTTATGAAATATGAATCACTCGGTACACTGTATATACAGCTATTGAACCTGATGTACCTTATGGAGTCAAAACTGTAGATACTTCAAGGTGCGTGAAGTTATTACTTATCAATAACTTGTACATCTTCTCTTTTCTCACGGTCCGTCATTTATTCGTCAGGAAATGTTGGAAATATTTGAAATCTGCACACTTCAGCGTGAAAGCTGAAGAAAAAGGCCGAATTACCTCTCACATACTTGATGTAAGGCATTGCAGTATACTTGTATGAAATCATCAGTATATTGTATACACTGTATTCATAACGACATCGGGCTTTCCTTTAAAGGCGTTATATTTTTTTTATGTATACCGATAAAAAAGATGCCCAATGCATTACAGTATATTATAAACACATAATTACAAATAGGTAGGCCTACTTTACAAATATATGGAGATCTGGCCACGTCACCTATCATCCTTGGTCTGGCTCATGCTATAGTAGTTAGAGACTAACCCGGTGTCGCCCCAGAAAACAAGAAAATACCAACATGTCAACTCTCTTTCCAGTAATTCTCACATAAATTCACCAGTTAAAAGATGGCTAATAATATTTTTTCTGTTCTGTTTTTGGAATCAGGAGCTACTGTCTTTGGGAAACAACCATTCAAAAATTATATTCGCAAAATGTCAGCAGATTTGTCGTCTCCTAGACCCTTCCGAACGTCAATGCTCTGGCGACTAAAGTGAAGTAGGGGACTTTATACCTTAAGTCGATTATCTTGACAATGTATAAAGTTCTCGTTTAATATATATATATATATATTTGTGTAGACCTTCGTAGTGTTTATGGCGTAATAAACTGTAATAAATCAATAAACTACCACGTGAATTTAACCTTGAGATACGTTTATTATCATATATACTGAAAGGTACTGTAAAATACATAAATTTACATGTATTTAATCAGACATCGGTTCACTGTGTATTGATGTCACGTTCGTATCATTGGCTAGCACATATTCATACCAATGAACCCCACTTGATTTCCGAATGGCTTGCCATCACGTCGGTACGAGAAAAACAACTCACGGTTACAACTGGTGCATTTTGTACAAGAATAATCATCAATGTTGGTGGGCTTTACGCCATTCTGTTCCAGAAGGACCCGATTACACAACTGCAAGTTTATAAAAGCTTTCGTTCCATCACCCTTAATCACAACGGACTCTTCAACTATGTCCTTAAACTGGCCAGTTTGGTTTGCATCAAATTCGAAGCAGCACTGGCCAATGGAAGGACCCATAGCAACAATGATTTCACTTGGATCAGATCCAAATGCTGAAGACATTTTGTGGAGTACTTCTACACACGCGCGTTTCACAGTGCCCATCCACCCGGAATGAAGCGCTGCACATGCCCTTTTGACAGGATCGGCAAAAATCATGGTAACACAGTCTGCGCCGGGAGCGGCTACAGTAACAGACTGACGATTTGTCGTAATTCCGTCATAACTCTCGGGTTCCTCTTCACCAACCACATGGATACGGTTTCCGTGCACGGTCCTCGCTAAACGAAACTCTTCTGGATCAAAGCCAATATGGTTTGCCAGTTTTTTACGATTTTCGGTCACTAAAGCCTTTGGGTCGCGTTTAGAAAGAGAAAATGTCAGATTTAAAGATTTCATTCCAGGAAGAGGCGACAGTCCACCAGTTCGGCAAGTAAATCCATGGTAGAACAAATCCGATGGAATAACAGGTGACTTCAACGTGTTGATGTCACCAAAAGCTGGCAACACAGAGCCAAAGAAGTAGCTGATATCCTGTGTTATCTTTTCTTCTGTGATGACTTCCGCTTCCTGTTGATCAACTGGAACAATATTCCATTCATAAACACCTGTAAAGAAACATTTCAGCAGCACGCGCCAGTACTGTTCATGCCTGTTAGAACACAACACAGAAATGACCGATATTCCGTGCTTGTCCAAATGAACTTTCGCATCGTAAAACACTGAAATCTTATCTTTATTTTGAAACTTGATTACTCTGTGATAGCCTTGTTTGTCCAAAGCTACCTTCACGGTATCTAGTTGAGTTGAGGAGTTGTTTGCCAGTAACAGTACACTGCTGTTTTCCATCGAAGGCAGACTGAAAAATCTCTCCACTACATTACTGTAATGTTGTGGATCTGTTGTCCAAAGATCCAACACGTACGCGTTTCCAGTTGCAGCCATCACTCTGAATAAAACAATTCATATCACGATATCACTAACCAGTTCCTTTGGTACTAGATCATAGGAGGGAGTTCAACTTTCAGCCTTATTGTAAATTTTTGGAGATGTATTTTACCGATAAAATCTTATCGTGACAATTCAATATCAAAATCAGAGAAAGGGCTATACACGAGACCATGGGTATGATAGAAAGGTAATTTAAAAGTCACGTTTAGCTTAAAAAAAACCCCATATTTCCCGCAAATTTTCTCATCAGAATAAAATACTGGTGGTCGATCCAAACAGTCTCGATATCTTAATTATCTCATTCAAAGTGTCCTATTCTTAAAACAGTCAGGTAGTTTTATGTGATTATATTTTGAGATTGATCAGATTTTTTTGTAAAAGTAAAAATATCTAATTATATATAGTATAGTTATTACACTTATTACCACCTCCCTTGAACAGTTTTCATCAGTTAATATTTTGGTGGCGCTGATTAGTATTCTCCTCAAATTATAGATAAATGTGCCATTTTAAAATTGGTATTGAAACTATGGACTTAGAACTAAATCTATGTCCGCGATGAAATAGAAAGCCATACTTTCGTTCCATATGTTTGAAGGCAGTCAAGCTTGAACTCCCAGCTATGCGTATATACGTTATTATAAGTCAATAATGATATGAAGAAAAAATTACATGAATTTGTTTTAAACAAAACAAAGAAATTTACGAAGATAACAAATATGATATAATAAAAATATATTCTTTAATGCTACAACATAAAACAATTATAAATTGGGAATATGCAGAGTCTTGAGGGGCACATTAATATTTGCTTCTCATACGAAGAAATAAATAACCATATGTGAAGTCTCTCTATATTTAAGCTTTAGTTTTTGTCTCTGTTTAACGTTGAAATCATCCGTATGTTCCCGTCCGCTGTCTGTACATAATCAGGACTGTGTGCATATAACGCAATGCTATATTAAGAAATGTACTAATTTGTACAATATCATATTATACCTGCTGACATTGTCATGAATTTGATGGTAAAAAAATATTTATACATGTCTATATATCTACATTAATATAACTCTGTCTTCCTGTCGAAATTCCGAATTAAATAATTCACAATGTCCGCAATGGCAGATGGAAAATTATGTTGTACTTTCGGTTTCTAATAATAACCAGAAGACAAACAACATGTTTACACGTCATACACAATAGTTTTTAGATGATAACAGTGTTGATACACACGATATACAAGGAAAAACTACAACAAACAAAAGTGAATAAGTAAATGATGAGAAAAGTTACCTTCTGTCGCAATAGGCCTATATCTTCCTGTTTTATACGGAAGTTGTCCAATGTTATGGTGTGTCTGTAAGGGGAAAATATGCCCCCGCTTGAAATGTTCCGAATGTACCATGCAAGTCGCGGACACGTAAAGGATATTGATTCAGCCAGAGACGTATATATCACATATATACGTCTCTGATTCAGCATATCAAACACTTGTACGTTTCAGATCACGCCAAAGGGATTTTCCTATAAAAATGCTTCACAACGAATATTGCATTGGTTGCGTGACAGTGGTCTGGGTGAAGCATTTGTAGATAAATAAATGATAATAATGATTAAAAAAACAACTAAGATACGAGGGGAAATTTCTATAATCTTTATGCCACCTGCGCGTCGAATACAGTTGGTTTTGACCGCAATGCATTTACCGGAAGTAGCTCTTCAGTGGTCCAGCAGCTGTAGCATCGGTAAGACGAAACAAAACACTGGGTAGGGTATTGTTTGATGTTTCTGTTGGTCTGTGATTCAGAATCATTTAGATAACACGAAACATGCATGATCAACAAAATTGGTAGGTTAATACATCTGATCAGTTTCTAAGTCAGGACAGAGGCCAAATGATTTGGATATTTATTTAATACAATAGTAAGCACACGGCTAGACTTGCTCAATTCCGATTTAAGTATTTAGACATAACAGTTAATTTTGTAAATGCTGAAGGTGAAGGTCAAGAAAGGAGACCTGTGGTGCGACGTTTTCATCATGATAGGTTTCATCACAGTGACTGAAAAAATAGATAATTTTAACACTTTTATTTTGTTTTGTTTTTTTATCAAGAAATTATATTTACTGGAATCAGTAGTCCAAGGTGTCCTGATTATCCATGCGGGAACACCGACCCTTTCAGGGGTCACTAGAATTAGGTGTTTTGAAATAGGGAGGAGTTCTGACTATTGTACAAGGCAAAACTAAAGACAAAATGGCTTATAAATAGTCAGAACTGTTTGGACTAACAAATTAGATGTTCTATATGTGAAATATAGCTGTGATTTTAATAGCTATATTTCATATGTAGAATATATGATTCTTATATGGAATTTCTAGCCCTGATATATGCACTTTAAGGTTCATATCATAGTTTTCAATATTCATTATCGGATGTTTAATAGCCATATTTAATATTCGAAGTAAACATTAGATATCTACTAATAAAAGTTAAAAATCATGATATGAACCTTAGAAAGCATGCAGTATGTTAAAGTACTTCAAACTCCTAGCATCGTACAGTGAGGCATTGATTTCACATTCACTGAACGTTATACATCCATGAGTGAAGTGATAGTAATTTAATGGTAGTAATGATATTTATTCAGGTATAAAGGCATGTTCCAAACATGGTTTGTATAAGGCATAATGATGCATAAACTTGTTGTATTTTATAGTAGTTAACTTTTAATTTAAGATACATAATTATAAATAGATATTGCAGTATACTGTAGATGTGATCTTCTGTCTCAAATTAAGTTAAAATTATGTAAGATTACCTGATAACAATTTCAGTCATTACATCCAAGTATTTTATGTTTAATGACCAGCTTAGCTACAATGTATGCATATGTATTTTGGTATACAAATTGCTTAATACAATAACTGCTTCTCTGAAAAATTTTAATTTAAAGTAAAATTTTCTTATGAACTGAAAAAACAATATTACTATAACCTTTTTTGTCAAATTAGAGAGTTTCCCTGTTTAGGCATCAGTAATATCATTTTAAATTTAGATGTAGGAACTACAGTTTATGCTAGTTTTTTTCAGAAGAGAAAGTTTTGTCAAATTCATTGAAATGTGTAGTTACTTTGACAACATGTTTGTCTAATTCAGAATGAAAACATGTAGATGCCAACAGTTCCTGCTGCTTAATCTTTGTGGTATTTACATATTCTTTACAATCAGTCCTACATTATTGTAAACCTGTGTTATGAAAATAAAATTTTTTGAGACCATTTTAATTTTGTATTATAAAATTATGTAACTTATATGTGTAGGGTTTTAGTAACTTTATTGACATCCTCTGTAGGTACATATCACTTGACAGTCCCTGATGACAAGTAATGGAATTACCCCTAATATGGGTCAGGGGTCAACTTCTTGCCAAAGTTCAAATGACCGAAGATTGCATACCGGTCAAGAGACTGATGAACTAAAGTTGCATGAAGGCCTGCGGTCCGAAGAACAAGACTTTCGTGAAAGTCAGAAGTCAGATGAATCAGAGTCACAATCTAGTCCAGGGTCAGAGGAATCAGAGTTGAACCCAAGTCAATTGCCAAGGTCAGGGCAGTTAAGTTCACAAAGAAATCAGAGGTCAGAGTCGGAGACAGGACAGGAAGAAGTTATGGCTGACTCATCAGTATCAGAAGAAGAGAAAGTGAGTGATTCAGGCCTTGGTGATGTTGAACAATCCATTCAGTCTTGCAATACATTTAGTGTATCACCCTTGATGTCTTGTGAATTGCCTTCCCTTGAAATATCCAACGAACTTTCTGTGTTTGTTTCATCCAATGAATCAACAACATCTGTATCTTCAAGTACTACATGTACAGAATCTGTCAGTAGCTCCAGTTTGTCCAATGTAACAATTGAATCAGTAAAATGTTTGAAGGATAGAGATATAGATATAACTGATCCAAAGCTTCTCAAACACATTGATCTACTTCTTCGTGATCTGAAACAGTCTGCAAACAACCCTTTGAAGAAAATCCAGGTTTTGGATGATATCATCCATGCAGAATTTATTGTTGTTTGTGAAAGACTCTTCAAGCATCTTGTTGACACAGACATTTCTGTGATGGTTCCAGGGTCATCATGGTTACAACTGAAGAAACTTGTGTCTGTATTGTGGATTCTGAGCGATGGCAGTATCACACTCTGTGAGCAGCTGGTATGCTCCCATTGTGCTCTTACAATAATGGCTGACCTTCTTAAGAGACTTTCTGAACCACTTGACTTTGAAAAGAACAATGTTGCTAAGTATCTTGTCAAGGCTCTTCTTGGCATTTTCCATAATGTGAGTAGGCATTTATGTGACACAAATGTACGTGACAATTTTCGGGAAGCAGAAGTTATGACAAGTCTTAAAATCCTATCACTGAGCAGAACACCTATGGTACAGGCAAAGGCACTCTTTGTCATGTCTTACATCATCGATGAGTCAGAAATTGTAATATTGAGTGTCGACGACAATGTACTAAAATTCATCGTCCAAGTCTTGAATGACGCATATCAATCCAAAACCCATTTCTCCTCTAAATATGGAATGAATGTTGAAGAGACAATTCATGGTCTCAATAATTTGGCCATAAATGACAAAAATAAAGTTTCAATATTCAAATTTGGTGTCTTAAAGATATATGTTAGTCTCATTTTGGAATATACCAACCCAGATGAAGTGTTTCAAGCTGTCAGTGGAATTTGGAGGCTAGCATTCCACAAAGGAAACTGTGCAGGCATCAGGTCACATCCACAATGCATAGAAGGCAAGTTTTCTTAAATACAGGCATTAGGTCACACCCACAATGTATAGATGGCAAATTTTCTTAAATACAGGCATTAGGTCACACCCACAATACATATGTATTGTGTAGAAAGTGAGTTCTTTTAAATACGGGCATCAGGTCACACAATGTAAAGAAAGCAAGTTCTCTTAAATACTGGCATCAGGTCACACGCACAAGTAAAGAAAGCAAGTTTTCTCAAATACAGGTGTCAGGTCACACCTAGAATGTATCAAAAGCGAGTTCTCTTATTATATACAGGCATCAGGACACACAATATATAGAAAGCAAGGTTTATTTAATCTTTTATACAGGCTTCCAATCACACCCATAATGTATTGAAGGCAAGTTCTTTTAAATACAGGCATTAAGTCACAAACAGAATATATAGAAGGCAAGTACTCTTAGATACAAGTATCAAGACAAGTACTGTTAACTAGCACCAAGTTGCATTCATAATTTACAAAAGATGGTTATTGCACCAGGTATGGGGTCACACCTACAACTTATAGAAAACAAGTACTCAAACATGGCATCATTTGACACCCACTCCTAGTGTTTAGAAGGCCTGTAGGAAACAAAACATTTTCTCAACATATGGTGAGAGCAGTACATCAATGTAAAAAAAGTTTTTGTAAATGTGTTTTTTTGTGTACCAATCCATTGATATAAGTTCATTTTTCATATTTACCCATCATATCTGACAGTTGAAAGTATATATATACCAGAAAACAATGAAGAAAAAGATGCAGAGTGTAATGTATTTTAAATGCTGTTGCAAACTGGACTGACAGGAAAATGCTGAAAAGTAATATGTTTCAACAAAATTAAAGTTCATTATCAATTTTTATTATTATGTCTAGTCTATCTTTATGAAAAAAAATGATCATTAATCGACTGTGCTTGGTACTTTGTAGCATTGATGTCACTACAAGGCTCCAACAATGAAGTAATTCGACATGCAGCCAGAGGTGCATTGTGGGAACTGCGGGAAATTCCAGAATTGCAACTAAGACCAGATTTAGGTGACATTAAACACCAGACTCTCTACATCTGTTAATGTAATAACACTTGATTCAATCAGCTGTTTATCTCGACTTAATCAAATTTTGTGTACTAATCCTGCAATCTGCCTCTATTTGTCTCAAAGAAGGGAGGTGGGATTATTGTGAGGAAAGGATATTACATTTATTGGCATTTCTACAAAAGTTACAATACATGTTGATGGGCTTATTATTAGAGAAAAGAATATTGTAGGAGATATATAATGATATCAGAATAAGTGCTGAAATGATTTGCCCTTGACCTCTGATACTGTAACCTTGACCTTTATGGTACAGATCTAATTTTGATAAGTAACTCATTAAGTCATCTGATGTGTATAATCTTGTTTTAATGATACCTGTGCCCTAAACGTATGGCAGTTAAGTTATAAGTAAGAAATTGATGAGACAAAGAGACATGATGTTCTACCTTATTTTCACTGGAGGCTGTCTACTATTGCCTTTTGTTGTGTGGTTTGGTTGATGAAACTGGAAAAATTGCTGGTGACAGTGACCAGAATGTTTGTCAGTATAACACATTTGATCATGTGATAATTAAAACATCATAATATAGTGTCAGTTTTTACTTGCAGCTTGCTTGGTTGTGCAGTGTCCTCATGTAATGATTAGTTATCAGTGGGACAGCCAGACACTAGCGCTACGTCTCAAAGATGTGTTGAAACATGCTGGCTACAAAGTGTGGATGGATGTTGAACACATGAGTAGGTCTTCATTAATGCACTTGAAAGTGTGTTCTGTAGTGCACATGTTCCAGACCTCACTACAGCCAGACCTGTGAGTTTTTGTAAACTTGTTTTCTTATTTACAGTAGATGATTGTGGGGGAAGTAAGCTTTTTAAGACGTTCTGAACCATTTTTCTTCAATATTTTTTTGTATTTTCTAACTTTATTATGTGTATTTACTCTAAATATGATTTCACGCATGATGTCAAAATTATATCTAATTTGAAATAATTTCTGACAAAGGGACGAGTGAACCATGACATCCTTTCTAAAAAATTATTCATATTATTAAAATTTCTTATTTTATTTATAGCAAAATATGAATATGAGTTATATCCAAAACCATTATCATTATGCCAAAAGGCTGTAGACAGATTACATGTTTACATGGCAGAAATACATGTCACCTTAAGTAATATGTCAAGTAACTAGGTATAGATTGTATCAATCTTATATCATTAGATTTTATATGTTTCACAAGTTAGACATGTTCAGTCTGGCTACCTTGATCATTTATACTTTTATGGATCATTCAACCTTGTTAGAAATGGTATATTAACCCTTTGTGCCTGTTGGTCGCGCTGCGTCCAAATGCCATAAAGAGGAGTTCCCCTCTGCGGAGATGGCTCCTCTGGCGGCCCCTGTTCCTCCCAAGGGGACTTCGGTCTCTATTGAGGAGGAGATGGACATCGAGGGTGCGGGCTCGGCAGAGGAAGACGATGTCATTCATCTTTCTCCTGGGCCAAGAGGGTTCACAAGGGGAAGATGGCCCTGAGACTGCTGAAGCTGAGGCTCAGCATGTGCTTTCTGGGATGCGGGTCCTCCGGGCCAACATCTCCCGGATTCTCAGGGCGGAGGTTTGCCCACCGCCTCAGCATCGTCGGCGCCTGAATCCACCATCCTTCTGGGTTCCCTGGTGGCTCCTCGGGCTTCCGTTCGCTCAGATCGGTCTCTGCCAGAAGGCAATATCATGTCTTCGGTTCTGGCCACGGCCCGGGCTCCGGTTTTAGAGAAGGACTCCTTCTCTACCCGTGCTCTCGGGTTTGTCGGTCTGCAGCTCGGTGTTGGT